CCCTTGACCAGTTTGTATGTGGAGGCTGATGAAGCTTCACTCAAACAACACATTAAACTGCCACGTCAATACATCACTAAACTGCATTCCGATCTGTCAAACCCAGCATGCAATTGTGTTTTCAACCCTCAAAATGAAAGCCTGTTTCGAAAGTTGTCAAACCTGGTTCTACCTCTTAAAATCAGAATTCAACCACACATCACTGCAGCTAACATGGCTAAAATAGATTTAAATACAGTGTTCCCTCGTTATTGCTCGCTTCAATATAGGGCTAACTCAGTTATAGCGCGCGGTAAAGCATGGCTCCCAAAATTTTCAATAAACTCAAGTTTTCCAATGACACGATGTTTTCCCCCATCTCAGAAAACATTATCAGCTGATCACCGCGATCACGTAACACCGGAAATATCAGTCAACAAATCCTAACTGAAGTACGCAATTTAATCCTATTATTATAATATCTGGTAATATAAAAAAATGTTCATTGTTTATCTGGACTAATGTTTGCAATATATTTTTTTTAATTATATTCAAAATTTCATTCAATAATGTTTACAATAATTTCGGCGAAATCGTATGTGAAGTGATCGGTAGATCGCACAACTCACCGTTATTAACAGCAACCACGTTCAGATTATCGCTATTGGCGCCTTGAAACGAACTTTAGTTGCAAGAGAATGGATACACATATCATAAATGCCGTATCATGACCCGTTAAAGTCATATTTGAGGCAGATAAACTAGACTTTCATAATGATATAGGTTAGAGGACACTCTTGCCCTGGGAAGATGTCCGTTAGACAAGTTGGATTGAATAATGAGGCTGTTGAGGTAACTCAGTTGTGTCACCGTTCCTCAGTGAGGGGGGGCGGTCGGGTACCCTAGTGGTTAAAGCGTTCGCTCGTCATGCCGAAGATCCGGGTTCGAATCCCGACATGGGTACAATGTGTGAAGCCCATTTCTGGTGTCCCCCGCCGTGATATTGCTGGAATATTGCTAAAGGCGGCGTAAAACCAAACTCACTCACTCACTCACCTCGGTGGGGGTCAAGGATGTTGCTCATAAGATCACAACTGGTTTGATGATTATTTACAAGTTGCTGTGAATATTGCTGACTCAACAACAAATTGACGACAACACGTGATAAATCTGTTCTCTTTGTGAGCTCCTGTCTCAACATGACAGTGGGATTTTTGACTGAAAAATAAATGTTATAATGTATGAACCTTTGTGTAGTCCTATTGTATTGTTGGTGTCTCTTATATTGATATTGTTGTTTGAAGTAAAACTGTTTGTGTGACAGCTGTCAGGATGATAAATTCCCGCAGTTAACATAATGTGCATCAGTGTAGAGGGATATGCTGGCCTGGACATTTTGATCAGTGTGATGTATGTGCCACGTGTAATTGTGTACATGGTTTAGACTTGATGTACTCCGGACATAGTGTTGAAACAATAGTCAGTGTCAAAATACACTCACTGGTGTTGAATGACAGTAAGCATTGCAATATATATATATGATATACAAGATTAACTATAGCATGTATACTGTTGATATAGCACACATGATGTAATCATGTCTAGTGTTGAAAGAACAAAATCACAATAAATCTACTAGTGTTGAAATGACAAAATCCTCACAATATACCTGATATTCCCTTTGACCTTTATTGACAAAGTACGGTTGTAAGTGTCACGTTTTCATTTTGACATGACATGATATGGGTACCAGAGAGTGTAAACTTTTCGGCATAATAAACTCGCCTCGCCCAATATTTTTCTGCTAACCTAATATGACACCGTATACGGCAACTAAAGACACCTTAACTAATATTATCTGCTTGTAGAATATCTTGTTACTGGATACTGCAAGCCTCACTAGTAGTAGTGTACTCACTGTCTCTTGCATAAATGCTGGCCATACTTTGTTCATGTTGTTTATTGAGCTACACATCCCCTAAAACAGGCCCCATTTCTTTTTTAAACAAAAACCTCAATAGCCAGTAATGTACATTCAGGAAGTAAGAGTATCAGGGATGGAAATTTTATAACGTGTGCTGTGCGTACACCCAAAGAGACATCAACCCTTATGTGAACTTTCATTGTCATTGTAACTTTTACCATCATCCCGAGGCCAGAGTGTTAACTGACTATAAAAGTCCAGTTTCCATTCTTGCGATAAGGCTTGAATTTCCAGGCTTGATTGTAGGGCAGCCAGTGACTATTACGAGTTATGTCCTTGCATTTGCTTGAAATAGAATGACGGCGCCCAGTCAAGTTGATCTGATTGATAATCAAGATATATATATTGTGATAAAATGGGTCTTGCCATGCACAGTGAATCAAATCACTTGAGCACCTTGATTAAAAACATGAAAAGATTTCTATCTGTCGACGCCAAGTTGGCAGTACACATGCTTTGCAGATCCTGCTGTCGTTGAAATCCATGTTGTTTAAGCATGTTAAGTACCAGATGTCTAGTTCGTTAAACGATTTTGATTGGACTGTGCATAGACTCGTTAGACCAGCCAAAATGTAACTCCATAATTCCAGCAAGTGTGAAAATTGGACTTTTATAGTCAGTGAATGCCCTTGCCTCAGGAAGATGAACTTTTACTAGAGGGGACCCACCATGTCCTGTATGTGGGTTGATCTGAGGGAATCATGACTGAGTCATCCCCTACTAGCAATCTGCATTTTACTGAAGTTGTGGATGCCCACCACACTGTCACTGGTCCACTGCCTGGACGTCCTACAAACACACATTGATTGTGTCACCACCCATGAAGATCCAGGGTAGAATAGGTCTTCAGCAACCCATGCTTGCTGTTAAAGGCAACTATGCTTGTTGTAAGAGGCCACTAACGTGATCGGGTGGTCAGGCTTGCTGACTTGGTTGATGCATGTCATCGTATCCCACTTGTGTGGATTGATGCTCATGATATCAATCACCGGATTGTTTGGTCCAGACTCGATTATTTACAGAACGCCATATAGCTTGAATATTGCTGAGTGCAGCGCTAAACAACAAACAAACAAAACTTGCATAAGTATGTCATCATGATCTCACTTGACTTTCAGTGTAACACCATGAAAATTGCTGACATAATACATTTAGAAGGCATTACGAGTTCAGATATCTACTAACTGTTCCCATGCCAATTTTGTTTTATTGTCTAAATGATGTAGACTGTGACAGGGGGATGAGACGGCCGGATGAAGTCAGAAACTGGGACTTGTGTCTGGCGAGGGAGGGAGGGTTGACACATCTATGTCACTCTGTTGCATCATGGTCCTTGACATTGCTCAAGTTGAAATCAAAAAAGGAAAAGCATGCATTGGATACAATTGTTTTCCAAGCGTGACACGAGGCCAGATGACAAAACTGGGTTTTTTTCAGCTTTTGAAACTGTCAGTCTAAAAATTACCAGTCCCCCCTAATTTTTGTCAGTCCCAACTTTCAACAAATAGTAAAACGTATGAAAATTACCTGGTTTTAATTCCATCTACATCATGTTCAATTTAATGACGTCATCTCTGAAGTAACTTTGTTAGATCTACACATCATTCACAAAAGTTCAGTCACAATTTTCTCTTTTTTTAAAAATATTTCGAGACAAACTGTCTACAAATATATATATAACCTCAAAGAAAATGTTATTTCCTTGCACTAGAATTGACAAGGTGAAACCCTGATGGTGACAAACAAGCTGATTTTGTTGAAAAAACTTATATGAATATCACTGATGTTATGTTCAACAACAAAAATTTACCAGGTACCCTATTTACTGGCAGTCACATGAATTACCGTTCCAAGCCTCATTTTACCAGTAAAAAGTTGGTCATTACCGGTAAACAGGAACACTGGTTGCTTGTGTCATGAACAATGTTCGTTCTTGATGCATCTGCAGCATTGTTTGCTCATGCAGAGAGTTGGGGATCTGTAAGGTTGAATGACTGAGGCTAGGTAGTGTAAGGCTTGCAATGTCAAGTCTGATGTACCTATTGTATGTGATGATGTCAGTCACTGTATTACTCTATATTACCATGGTAACAGCATCCATTAGGCGAAGCCCAGGTACAATGTATACCAGGAATGTGCAGATTCAGCAATTTGTGAACACGAAGGACCCCTTGCTGTCTGATGACAAGCTGCTGATAAACAATAAAGCAGTCTGTTCCAAATTAAAATGAGAGGTACCCCCCGGTATCTAGTTTACAGTTAGACCATTGTAGACTACCTCAATTTTCAAAATACAGTTGGTTTATCGCCCAATTATATGGCATTGTATAGAATCGTATATCAGTACAGTCATAGTACAACTCATGTACCATATTGCAACACGCCATAGTATACTAGTTCATGTAGTTATACTACTCAAAATAAGTAAAGGGCCACCCTTTTCTTTTATATTTGCTATAGCTTGTCTGTCGTGCCAAAAAGAATCAGGTGGCCCATAACTTCTTTTAAATAGTATATACTCACTGACAAAAGAAACGCAAATACTATATATGTTGATTAATATATGAAGAATTACTCATATTCAAGAGATGTTAGATTGGTTTGATGCACAAATGAACATACTGTTATGTTGTGTGAACCGACACTCATGAACGCATCACATGTGATGTCATAGATCCATGAATTGAGAAGCACCATTTGATAAACTTTGAAAATCGTGTGCAGCGACACCAGAAATGGGCTTCACACATTGTACCCATGTCAGAAATAGAACCAAGGTCTTCGCCGTGACGAGTGAACGCTTTAACCACTTGCCTACCTTCGGCGTGACGAGTGAACACTTTAACCACTAGCCTACCTTCTGAGTGACGAGTGAACGCTTTAACCACTTGCCTACCTTCTGTGTGACGAGTGAATGCTTTAACCACTAGCCTACCTTCGGCGTGACGAGTGAATGCTTTAACCACTAGCCTACCCAACTGCCCCTTGATGTTATCATGGTTATTGTAATAACATGTAATTCCTTATATTGTTTCAGATGAATGTAATTGCCACGATCAATGTGATCACATCATCACTGAGGTGAGTACTGCAACCTGTTCAACAGGTCTCTAACATGAAATCACATGTTACTCAATGTACAAATTTCTTTTACTTTGGCCCATTTCCGTGGTCTAGTGGTATAGTGTCTGCCTTGAGATTGGTAGTTCTGGGGTTTGATCCTCGGCTGCGTCATACCAAAAGACGTTAAAAGATGATACTTGTTGTTACCCTGCCTGGCGCTCGGCATTAGGGGCTAAAACAAGGACTGGTCGGCTCGGGGTCGGTGTACTGTGGGGTATCCATGTCAAACTGCAGCATGGTATCTCAGTGGTTTAGCACTATATAATCGGACTAGTAGAAGCAGCCTCGCAAACATGCAAGCACGTCGCTATATAACTGCAATAATCTTGGACCTGCATTAAACACCATATCACGTTACCTTTACCAGTTTTTTACCGGTAAAATTAGACCGGTTATTCATGGTACTGCCAGTATATATAAATCTTTGTTGTTGAACAAAACATTGGCGATATTCATATTTTATAAGCAGATAAGTATATTTTTCGAACGAGGTCAGCTTTTCAGTTGCCATCTGGGATTCCCCTTGTCTATTTTTAGTGCTATTAAATAACATTTCACTTTGCTTCAAGGTTAAATATATATTTGTAGAGATTTAGTCTTGAAAGAATTAAAACCAGGTAATTTTCATGCGTTTTTTCATTTGTTGAAAATTGGGACTGACAAAAATTAGGGGGGGCTGGCAATTTTACAGGACTGGTAGTTTCAATAGCCAGCGAGAACACTGCTTTATGCTTTGAACTGAAATGCATTTTTACCAACACATGGTTACTCTTTAAAAAAACTGATATTTGAAGTTCATATTTGATATGGGAAAAAGACCAAATCCAAATTATTAAATTCTTTTTAAATCTTTATATTTCATTGTACTGGCAGATTTGCAATTAAGTAAATGGATTGATTAATATTAACTGCAAATATATTTATCATATGTACAGATTTGGCATGTATTACTGTAAATCTTGATATTAACGCGAGCATGAATGAAATGCGAAAAATGTCAGTGGTCCTTGCTCGCATTATTAAACATCGCTTTTATATCAACAATAAGACATTTTGGAAAGCAGAAACACCAACTTAGACATACGCTGAAAACAAACAACTATGTATTCCACATCACTGTTTATTGAGCAGCACTTGTAACAAGTTTATAAACAATGTCATTCAAACGCTAATTACAACATCCTGTGAATTGTCACTACTGGGATCAAGACTCTACTCACTGCGTCAAAGGCCGACACGAGCCAACACGCATGTATTGTTTTAACGGAAGTACACTACTCAGTGCTAATAAGCGGTGCTATTTGGTGTGTGATTGGATTAATGTAAGGTTGGCGTAAGGCATGTAAGGTGAGGATTTAAACCTGACAGAGGGCATTTCCTTTTGATACAATATCCACTGATGCTTGAGACGAGGGGGGTGTCGCATTCATATTTAGTCACATTTTTGGCTAGGGGCCAGCGGTCTATTTCTTTTGGAGACAGATTAATTTTACGATTTACAGTATTCCTTTGTTACATTAGCACATTGATGTATTAATGTATCATGTATTATGCAGAGCTCCAGATAAGCATGATAAGCTTTTGGTGTTGTGGATATTTTACCCATGCATTTTAAAATCATTGGGTATCAGTAATTCTATCTGGGTATTCAAATTTCTGTTACCCACTAGTTTTTACACATGAGGGTATTTAAGTTAAACATTTAAAAACACTATTCATCTAGTCCCTGCAAACTGGTGTCGTGTGGGTTCGAGAGCTTTATAGGTCTAAAAAATACCACGATACTTCCACAAGAAAGTGTGATGGCAAATGATCATGATGTAACTGTAATCTTGGAGTTTGGCAAGGTTGACGGAATGCCTGTTTATAATTTCAAAATAAGTTGCTGATTTGCTCATCGAATACGCAGGGTGACTTCACAATATTTTGATGATATGCACAAGTTTTATTTTTGTAGCGTATCTGTAATGTTCGTTGCGTATTTGATACGCTTGGATTTTATTTTACTGCATATTTCTGCATTTCTGATGCGTATTTCACGCAGATACGCAGCTTATCTGGAGCTCTGATTATGTGTCTTGGAGCAGTAATAACACAAGCAATTCACTTGTTTACCTGCATCCAGTTACATATTTTGTTAAATTAAATATGTTTAAATCATGGCACTGCGTCGACTAATGTGTCTGCACTCAGTGTTTGAAATAGGAGATAACTTACTGCAGGCCATGAGGACCCATACAAATGTGAAACTACTGGCCGGGGGTTAACTCTACCTGCCAGGTTATGCTGTGGTTACCATGGCTACAGACTAACATTTAGACCGCTTGTGCTTCTGTACAGACAGTAATGTCCCTGGTGGTGATGTCAGCAATGGTAACCATGGTTACTGCTGCAGGAACATTTGCAGATTAGGGTGAACTGTTTTTATTTCGGTAATGTACAGAATTTACCTACACCGAGGTGTCGATGGGTGTAGGTCTCCGTGATGATCCTGGGTAGGACAGGTCTTCAGCAACCCATGCTTGCGGTAAGAGGCAAGTATGCTTGTCGTGGCAGCTAACAGGATCGGGTGGTCACTCTCACTGATTTGAGAGATGCATCGACTGGTTGATGCATCGATGTTCAGAACATCAATCACTGGTTTCTCTGGCCAAGACTTGATTATTTACAGACTGCCATCATAAAGCTGGAATATTGCTGAGTGTGGTGTTAAACAACAAACAAACTTCCAAACTTCCAAACAGAAAATGTGTGTAGACCTATGAAGTAACCCACCGCAGTTATCATTATTCTCAATCTCGTCTTCTGTTGCAGTGCCCTTGGTGCGGGATCAATTATTCTATGCTCAGTCTTTCACAGGAAGATATGTTTCTCTGAGGTGAGTGTTTTTCTCGTCTTCCACCTGTCTATCGCAGATCAGGTGCGATTTCCATTGCCAAGTTACATTTGGCTTATGCAGCCTAAATTTCTAATCAGACTTAAAACTGTAGTTGATAAAATATTCCACAAACAGGCGAATGAATACTTGCTTCAAATACATACCATGTATAAAAAATGTTATGTACACTTCAGATCACCAATCTTCGCCATAAACACATTAGCTAATCAAATCCCTCTTTGTCAATTATTTACATTCACCTTAATTCCCGTAAGATAAATGGAAGATGACGACCAATCAAATCACTCCATTTACTCTTGAGACTAAAAAAATATAGTTTCAGGTAGTCCTGCTCGCTGACTTTGTTGATGCATGTCACCGTATCCCAATTGCGATGCTCATGATGTCAATCACTGGATTGTCTGGTCCATACTTGATTAATTACAGAACACCGTCATATAGCTGGAATGCTACTGAGTGCGGTAACAAACAAACAAACAAAAACTCAGTCACTCACTCACTCACCCACTCACCTATCTGTAGCAGGGTCACAATCCGCAAAGGGATCTTATCGCGAAGATGACCTTAACTCCCATACTTTAATATAGACTTACAATAGGAGGGGGCCTAGTCGTCTAAGGCGCCGCGATTCGCTGTGCAGAGTTGCGTCCCTTGGGCACGCCAGAAAGCTATGATTGTGGGTTCGAATCCCGGTTCGCCCCGATGATGTTTCGAGGTTTGTCAGCACCATAACCGTGCTCGTGGGTTTCACCCAAATGGTAAACGTCTGAGACCTGCATCACTTCGGGCTTTCCTCCCACATTAAGCTGACACGCCGCAATTTGACTGGAATACTGTTAAAAGCGGTGTTTAACCCAACTCACTCATCTGTAGCAGGGTCACAATCCGCAAAGGGATCTTATCGCTAAGATGACGTTAACTCCCACACTTTAATATAGACTTACAATAGGCGTAGTGCTACGATCGCTTTATGGAACGAGGCCCAGATCGGCTACATGTCTGTTTGTTTTCTTCAGGTGTATCCAATCTTCCAGCTGTCTATAGCGGATTTGCTGGCGTCACTGTTCTTCCTCTCCAGCACCATCATGTTCCTGAACAACGTCCAAAACTACCCTGGCGGCTGTGGCCCCTGTGATTACATCACGGCGGTCATGACGGTGAGCAGCAATAGTCAGACATTTTGAATGTCAGCTCTGTCTCGGCCTATACTGGCCCAGTCTATGTTGCCCTGAGATCAGTGTCTGAAATAACTGCCTGCCTGCCCGCCCGTGGCTGGTAACTTTTCTTTTGGGCTGCATAAAAATTTCCTCCACCTGCCCGACTATCTGGCAGATAATTTTAAGACGAGTTATGTATACAGGTTTATTATAAATTCTCGTAGATTCTCAAGTTATAGTTTGCAATATTTCAACTGAATCAAGACATGATTTGTCTTAGTTTTTGTGGTTTTTCAATATTTAACTTTGAAGATGGACAGGCAGCACTTATGGGTCTCCTGCCCGGGTCTTGTTGTCCTGAAACACAGGACCAGTCTATGTTGTCTTGAGCTTCAGGCCCAGTTTGTAAGTCCACCCAGCCTGCCATTTCACAACCATGTTATAGTACAGGAGAATGTTAAAATCAGTTTGTGCACAGGCATAACTTACCAATTGAAATTCAAGTCAGAGCCGTGACCCTAAATATTGGTGCAAATGATACGTCCCTTTCAGTAATAGGATATGACTAGCAATACTAGATGTGGTGTAGATATTATTATCCCCTGCCACGAAGTGGAAGGGGGATATAGGAATGGGTGCTGTCCGTCCTTCAGTCCTCCCGTCTGTCATCTTTCTTTGTTCCTGAAGCAGAACACAAAACCCATGAGAGCTATCTAAACCAAACTTGGCACATAGATAGGTCTAGTGGTGAACTGATGCCTTTTGATAGTTTGAGATTAAAAAAAATAAATATTATGACATTGACTTTGACTGAAAATGGCGGTAGTGCTCGTTTCCGCAGGGCTAATGCCTTGCACACAACTGGACATGTCATATTGGCGGGGATATGAGTATTTCATGCTTGTTATCCCCCGCCCCAATGAAGTTGGCGGGGGATATAGAAATGGGTTCCGTCCGTGCGTGTGTGCGTCCCGAAATCGTTTCCGGAGCATAACTCAGAAACCATTAAATATTTCTCTACAAAACTTTGCATGTCTATTAGACTTATGCTGAACTGGTGCCTTTTTCTATTTAGGAGTTTTATAAATTTTTATTTTTTACGTTTCCATGGCAACAAGTTGGACTTAGGTTCTATAAGGGTGCTGTTCGTTTCCGGAACTGAACTGGTGCCTTTTGCTATTTAGAAGTTTTATTAATTTTTATTTAATACATTTCCATGGCAACAAGATGGACTTAGGTTCTGTGAGGGTAGGGTTCGTTTCCGGAGCATAACTCATAAACCGTTCAATATTTTTTCATCAAACTTTGCAGGTTTGTCAGGTACATGCTGAACTGGTGCCTTTTGCTATTTAAATTTTTTAGAAATTTTAATTTTTACGTTTCCATGGCAACAGGATGGACTTAGGTTCCAAACTCTTCTTTTTTTTACAATTTCCATGACAAGTTCCACCTCGGTTAAAAAAGGTAAGGGTTTGTTTAGATTTAATTATGTCATAAATTCTGCAACAGGGGCGGGGGATATAAACTCTTGTTTATTGGAGTAATGCTTTCTGTCAATGGCACTACATGTGTCTGTCATCTGTCTACAGAGTTTCTACATCAGCACACTGTTCTTGACTCTCTCGTATGCTCTGGAGGCTTTTCTGAGGGTCAGGAAACGCCTCCACAATGGATTCATCAGTTCCTCCAGAGAACAGCAGGTACGTTTCCATCCCTCCTCACATCTCCCTGTCTCCTCCACTGTCATAACTCCTCTCAACATATATGGCCCCATTATTAAACATTTCTTGTAAGAGATGATTGATAGCTAAACACTGGGAATTGGTTGATTCCATGCCATGGATGGTTGTTCAAGCTGTCTACTACTGGTTTGGTTGATCCAGATTATTGACCGGTTACAGCTGAAATATTAAACAACGCTCACCCTCTCACTCTTTCCAGTTTCTCGCCCTACTAGATGCACATGGCTGACGCAACATTCAATAGTAATCACTAACACCAAATTTGTATGTAGCCAGCAGGACTTGCTCCTTTTAAAGTTACAAACCCTTCTCCAAACTCACTGGCCCACAACTAAATGGTGGAGGCCGTGAAGTGGACGAAGCTGAGATCGTGACGCCACCTTGCAGTCCCCGGAAAACATTAGAACTTCTCACCCCTAAAATGTTTTTTTCCTGCACTCCGAGATTAAATCACGGCTTCCATGTACCTCATTTTTTAGTGATTTAAGAGTAAACAAAGAAGTTGTTGTACACATTACAACGTAACAGTCGGTTGTCATTCTACCGAGATGATTCAATTATAAAAATTAAACATGCACGGAGAAGGGGTGAAATTTTGACTAGTCAGACGGGCCATCTACTTCATTTTTCAGCAAGCCCTTTGTAACTTTAACTGGCCACAGACCGATGGGCCAGCAATGAAATCGACCCCAGTTATGATATTGTGTTTTTCTTTGCAGAGAACAGTTGTGAGCTATAGTTTCATGCATCTCATCTATGCTGTGGCTTGGTGAGTCTCATACCCCAGGAATCTTCCGATTACAATAGGTCCGTCCCCAGTAGGGCTGGGACGGGTAACTCAGGTACCGTATTCGACGTAATAAGCGCCCCGCTCTAATAAGCACCCACGGCGATATTTGCTGATATATTGGCAAGTGAACAATCCCAATTAGCACCCTTCCGATTGATCACTGTAGACAAGACTTATTTATTCGTGTATAATACGCACTCGTGTGTCATATGCACCCTTCATTATAGGGAATTAAATTCTCGATAAATGTATCTGTCGCATATAAACATTTCAGTGTGTCAGCATAAACCACGAAATTTATCTTTCAACTCTCTTTTTTCCACCAAAATAATATTCTAATAAGTGCCCCCTATTTCTAATTTTGAGAGCGCCCTAGGCGCTTATTACGTCGAATACGGACCCAGGTACCCGCATGACTATCCAGACCCGTTGTTAGTCACATGATGTATTGACAAAATTCACTGTAGCTCAATGGTTACACAAGTCACTCATATTCACATTTCTCCATGACTGTGAACGCATTCCTTCTGACTTATCCATGTTTGAATAAAGATAAAACTTCAGTCAACTTCGAGTGTATATGCATGACCTGACCGTTTTATACAAGTAGCTAAATACATTTTGCTCGGCTAAAGTCAAACCATTCCCAATCGGACATTTTGAAACCTCTCTTTAACTCTTCATACCAACAGCGGGGACCCGGGTTGGGTTGGGTTATAGGGGTGTGGGTACCTGGGTAGTAAATTTTGAATCGTACCAGCCCTAGTCCCCAGCACCCTGTTACATTCCCCTGAGGATACATTGGTTACAATATGTCCCTACACTCTGTTACAGTCCCCTGAGGTCACACTGATTACAATAGGTCCCAGCACCCTGTTACATTCCCCTGAGGTCACACTGGTTACAAGAGGTCCCAGCACTCTGTTACAGTCCCCTGAGGTCACACTGATTACAATAGGTCCCAGCACCATGTTACATTCCCCTGAGGTCACACTGGTTACAATAGGTCCCAGCACCCTGTTACATTCCTCTGAGGTCACTCTGGTTACAATAGGTCCCAGCACTCTGTTACATTCCCCTGAGGTCACACTGGTTACAATAGGTCCCAGCACTATGTTACAGTCCCCTGAGGTCACGCTGATTACAATAGGTCCCAGCACCCTGTTACATTCCCCTGATGTTACATTGGTTACAATAGGTCCCAGCACTCTGTTACAGTCCCCTGATGTAACATTGGTTACAATAGGTCCCAGCACCCTATTACAGTCCCCTGATGTTACATTGGTTACAATAGGTCCCAGCACCCTGTTACATTCCCCTGATGTTACATTGGTTACAACAGGTCCAAGCACTCTGTTACATTCCCCTGAGGTTACATTGGTTACAATAGGTCCCAGCACCCTGTTACATTCCCATGAGGTCACTCTGGTTACAATAGGCCCCAGCACTCTGTTACATTCCCCTGGCGTCACACTGGTTACAATAGGTCCCAGCACCCTGTTACATTCCTCTGAGGTCACTCTGGTTACAATAGGTCCCAGCACTCTGTTACATTCCCCTGAGGTCACACTGGTTACAATAGGTCCCAGCACTATGTTACAGTCCCCTGAGGTCACTCTGGTTACAATAGGTCCCAGCACTCTGTTCCTTCCCCTGAGGTCACACTGGTTACAATAGGTCCCTACACTCTGTTACAGTCCCCTGAGGTCACACTGATTACAATCGGTCCCAGCACCCTGTTACATTCCCCTGAGGTCACTCTGGTTACAATAGGTCCCAGCACTCTGTTACAGTCCCCTGAGGTCACACTGGTTACAATAGGTCCCAGCACCTTGTTACATTCCCCTGAGGTCACTCTGGTTACAATAGGTCCCAGCACTCTGTTACATTCCCCTGAGGTCACACTGGTTACAATAGGTCCCAGCACTCTGTTACAGTCCCCTGAGGCCACACTGATTACAATAGGTCCCAGCACCCTGTTACATTCCCCTGAGGTCACACTGATTACAATAGGTCCCAGCACCCTGTTACATTCCCCTGATGTTACATTGGTTACAATATGTCCCAGCACTCTGTTACAGTCCCCTGATGTAACATTGGTTACAATAGGTCCCAGCACCCTGTTACATTCCCCTGAGGTCACATTGGTTACAATAGGTCCCAGCACCCTATTACAGTCCCCTGATGTTACATTGGTTACAATAGGTCCCAGCACCCTGTTACATTCCCCTGATGTTACATTGGTTACAACAGGTCCAAGCACTCTGTTACATTCCCCTGAAGTTACATTGGTTACAATAGGTCCCAGCACCCTGTTACATTCCCATGAGGTCACTCTGGTTACAATAGGCCCCAGCACTCTGTTACATTCCCCTGGCGTCACACTGATTACAATAGGTCCCAGCACATTGTTACATTCCCCTGAGGTTACACTGGTTACAATAGGTCCCAGCACATTGTTTCATTCCCCTGAGGTCACACTGATTACAATAGGTCCCAGCACAGTGTTACATTCCCCTGAGGTTACACTGGTTAGAATAGGTCCCAGCACATTGTTACATTCCTCTGATGTCACACTGATTACAATAGGTCCCAGCACATTGTTACATTCCCCTGAGGTTACACTGGTTAGAATAGGTCCCAGCACATTGTTACATTCCCCTGAGGTCACACTGATTAGAATAGGTCCCAGCACATTGTTACATTCCCCTGAGGTTACACTGGTTAGAATAGGTCCCAGCACATTGTTACATTCCCCTGAGGTCACACTGGTTAGAATAGGTCCCAGCACATTGTTACATTCCCCTGAGGTCACACTGGTTAGAATAGGTCCCAGAACATTGTTACATTCCCCTGAGGTTACACTGGTTAGAATAGTCCCAGCACATTGTTACATTCCCCTGAGGTCACACTGGTTAGAATAGGTCCCAGCACATTGTTACATTCCCCTGAGGTCACACTGGTTAGAATAGGTCCCAGAACATTGTTACATTCCCCTGAGGTTACACTGGTTAGAATAGACACAAAGCAAGCTATTACTGGTCCCCTGAGGTGGCCTGGGTTGAAAGGGCGAAAGGAATGTCAGCTTTCAAATGTCTTCCCGAGGCAAGGGAGTCAGCTAACTGACTATTAAAGGCAAGAATAAAGGATTTATATTTTGGCTGGACTTGCATTGTACCATGTTGTACAATCAAAATTGCGTTCGACATCTGGTTCGAAAACTGCCATACAGATTTCAGTTGATTGCAGGATTTGCAAGGTTTGTGTACCATCCATTTAGCATATGTATTCCAAGTCTTTTCATATTTTTAATCAAAGTGCTCATGTGATTTAATGCACTTTGAGAAGTAAGACCTGTTTTATGACAATAAAGATCTTGATTATCGATCAGATTGTCTTAATTGGGCACCACCATTTTGTTTGAAGAAAATGCAAGTGATAAGAGAGGTGGAATCTGATTGGTCAATAGGAGGGACATAGAAGGGATTTAACTCGTAATAGTCACTGGTGGCACTACAATCGAGACCAGAAATTCTTATCTAGTTCGTCAAGGGCGAAAACTGGACTTTTACAGACATCTTGCTTCGGGAAGATTGTTTTCAATCTGATCAGACTTTTGAGATGACCCCTACCAATGTGATGGACATTGTACGGAAGAATTTTAGGGACATTCGTTTTAATTATTTTTTACCGGCCCTGTGTTGTGCAGGTTGGTGCCGCTAGCAGGTGGGATTGTTCTGCTGACACCTACCACCTCCTCTGGAAACACCCAACCTAAGGATGCTGAGTGTTCCACGTGAGTTCTGGTATTCTATTTCCAATCTTGCTGTTGTACTGGAATGCCTATTAATGGCCTATTCCACTGCTTTTTTCAAAATGTATTGAACATTATTTCATATGTATTAAGCATGGTTAGAAGTGGGCTCTAACATGTATATATCCCCTTTCTTGCCATCTTATGAATTTGATCAACCATGTCCACTGTTTACACTTTTACCATGTGCCATTAATTTCTCTCAGAAGTCATTGTCAGCTCTGTGAAACTGGTTTACTGATGAACTTTGGCATGTATTTTCCTTCAAATGATTACGTCTTACTTTGTTCAAGTCAGTAAGACTTTGTTGTTAGTTTTCCGTTAAAAATGATTTAAGAGTGATGCAGGTCTCAGATGTTTACCACTTTGGTGAAACCCACGAGCACGGGTATTGTGCTGACAAACCTAGAAACATAATCGGGGCGAAGCGGGATTCGAACCCACAATCATAGGTTTCTGGCGTGTCCACGGGATGCAACTCTTCACAGCGAATCGCGGCTCCTTAGACGACTGGGCTACCCGTGTCCCCCCATGTAAGATGAAGTTTTCACAGTAAACACAGAGGGACTATGTAATCTCCAAGTATATCATCCGCATGTTGTATGTACAGTGTCTAGTGTTTGCGTCTTCCAGATGTTTGCCGGTCTTCCACTACACTCAAGATAATCCTTGCTGGGTGAGTCTTTTTATTCCTTTTGGTGGGTTGGAACAGATCCCCAGACACTGGGTTGGATGATCAGTCAGAGTAACTGGATTGATTGTGTGTTATTCTGGTCAGTGAAGCTTGTAGCTGGAATATTCACTCACTCATTGACTCAGTCCATCATATTGTTGTTCTTGTGACACTTCAGTTTGAGCTGCCTGAATCCTCACAATACCATGTCCTTGTGTTTCAGTCGCATGTGGTGAACGGCACATCTTGGCATCTTGCATACAAGCTGGTGTTCCTCATCCCTCTAATTGCAGTCTTCTTCTCCAACATTGTAAGTACAGAGTTGTGTCCCCTGTCTTCCTTCCTCTCCAACATTGTAAGTACTGAGTTGTGTCCCCTGCCTTACTTCCTCTCCAACATTGTAGGTACAGAGTTGTGTCCCCTGTCTTCCTTCCTCTCCAACATTGTAAGTACAGAGTTGTGTCCCCTGTCTTACTTTCTCTCTAACATTGTAAGTACAGAGTTGTCTCCCATGTCTTACTTCCTCTCCAACATTGTAAGTACTGAGTTGTGTCCCCTGTCTTCCTTCCTCTCCAACATTGTAAGTACTGAGTTGTGTCCCCTGCTTGCTTCCTCTCCAACATTGTAAGTACTGAGTTGTCTCCCATGTCTTACTTCCTCTCCAACATTGTAAGTACTGAGTTGTGTCCCCTGTCTTACTTCCTCTCAAACATTGTAAGTACAGAGTTGTGTCCCCTGCCTTACTTCCTCTCCAACATTGTAAGTACAGAGTTGTCTCCCATGTCTAACTTCCTCTCCAACATTGTAAGTACAGAGTTGTGTCCCCTGTCTTACTTTCTCTCTAACATTGTAAGTACAGAGTTGTCTCCCATGTCTTACTTCCTCTCCAACATTGTAAGTACTGAGTTGTGTCCCCTGTCTTCCTTCCTCTCCAACATTGTAAGTACTGAGTTGTGTCCCCTGCTTGCTTCCTCTCCAACATTGTAAGTACTGAGTTGTCTCCCATGTCTTACTTCCTCTCCAACATTGTAAGTACTGAGTTGTGTCCCCTGTCTTACTTCCTCTCAAACATTGTAAGTACAGAGTTGTGTCCCCTGCCTTACTTCCTCTCCAACATTGTAAGTACAGAGTTGTCTCCCATGTCTAACTTCCTCTCCAACATTGTAAGTACAGAGTTGTGCCCCCTGCCTTACTTCCTCTCCAACATTGTAAGTACAGAGTTGTCTCCCATGTCTTACTTCCTCTCCAAAATTGTATGTACAGTTGTGTCCCCTGCCTTACTTCCTCTCCAACATTGTAAGTACAGAGTTGTGTCCCCTGCATGTTCCTCCATGTGTTGGCAAGAGGCAAGGTACTTTAATCTGGTTTGATGTGTGGTTTGATCTGGTTTGATTTGTTTGATGGGTGTTACTGCAAATGTGTGGTGGTATATAATGGTTCATGGGGCATCTAGAAAAGGCAGTGACTGTCTACTTGTTTAAAGTACTTGCGACCACATTTCAGGTTATTTAGATGATAAAGGTGATGTTACTAATATGAGGATGTGTTCTGTCTCCAGTTCCTGTACCTGTGCATCGCCCGAGCCTTCAAGCAGGTGTCCATGCGGAGAGGTCAGTTGTCTGTGATGCATGTGTAGAGGGGAGTGTGTGAGAGTGAGGGTATTGTACAGTTTGTTTGTAGTTTGTTTGTTTGTTGTTTAACACCACACGCAACAATATTTCAGCTATATGACAGTGGTCTGTAATTAATAGTCTGGACCAGACAATCCAGTGAATCCTCGATCTTCAACGCTCTGTTGAGTGAGTGTTATAGAGTGAGTGAGTGAGTGAGTAAGTGAATGAATGCCTGTTGTAGAGTGAGCGAGGGAATGATTGTTGTGGGTGAGTGAGTGAATGAACACAGCTAAGTCACATCTGAGAGATGTTCTGCCTTCCCCAGTAACAATCCTACTCAGCGCCCATTTTAACCACGCATATTTTAATGGGGTATGATGGGTGGCAGTCTTCAAAGGCACCACTAATAGCTTTGCAGAGTTACCTCCCTTGGGCGTGCCAGAATTCTATGATATAAATAGAAGATTTCTCTGATTGTGGTTTGATTTGTCTGTACCATACAATTGCTCACTGGAGTCGTAGGGGTTCAGTGTCACTTCAGTCCTTACTTCCACATTATGCCGCCATGCCATGTTATATCGAAAGTACAACTGACGCACTCACTCACTCTGACCCGCAGGTCTGTACACCTTCCACCAGCGTCAGGAGGAGTCCACTGTGAGGAGGAAAGCAGTGCTGTACCAGTCAGCTTTCCTGTGTTGCTGGCTACCCAGTGAGTACCCACCTAATTACATCTACTTGAAGAAAACTGAGATATTCCTCAAATCATTCCCAAACTTCCCTGTTCAGTTGCATGTGTCTAATGTATGTGACTCGGTTTGACGTTTCCATGATCAGGCAGTGGTTAGACTGCTTCAGGTTGACATGTAATGGTAAAGGTGAGCTTCTGTACCTGTGGCTCTGTGGTTGATTGCATCCGTTTGTGTTTCAGCTCTCATCCTAGGAATCATATCCTTCCAGTCAGACTTCGCCATGAGACGCTACTTCTGGCTGTACGTGCTGCAGGTGAGATTTGTACAAGAGTTCTGTGATTGCCAGTCTTTGTAAAGTGATGCGGCAGGGCCCTGTTCCACAAAGCAATCATGATGATCTTAACTCCCATACTTTAACATAGGCTTACGATAGTCATAGCTCTACGACGATCGTAAATCCCATACTTTAACATAGGCTTATGATAGTCGTAGCACTAGGATGATCGTAACTCCCATACTTTAACATATCACTAACACGATCGTAACTCCCATACTTTAACATAGGCCTACGATAGTCTGAGCACTATCACGATCGTAACTCCCATACTTTAACATAGGCTTATGATAGTCATAGCTCTACGACGATCGTAACTCCCATACTGTAACATAAGCTTATGATAGTCGTAGCACTAGGATGATCGTAACTCCCATACTTTAACATATCACTAACACGATCGTAACTCCCATACTTTAACATAGGCCTACGATAGTCTTAGCACTAACACGATCGTAACTCCCATACTTAAACATAGGCTTATGATAGTCGTACCACTAAGATGATTGTAACTCCCATACTAAAACATAGGCTTGTGATAGTCGTAGCACTAAGATGATTGTAACTCCCATACTTTAACATAGGCCTACGATAGTCGTAGCGCTAACACGATCGTAACTCCCATACTTTAACATAGGCTTATGATAGTCGTAGTACTAACACGATCGTAATTCCCATACTTTTAACATTGGCCTACGGTAGTCGTAGCGCCGATATCACATTGTTGAACTTCGCAGAGGTGTCAAACACTCTTCTGCTTCCTCTAAACAACCCCTTCCCCTCACTCCATCCTGCAACTTGCACCCTTCTCCTTTGTTGGTATTGTTGATTGGTTGAACAAACTTGCATGAGTCGACACAGCCATTAGTCGGCTGGTCCCAGGACATGTTGTTTGTTTGTTTGATAGTTGTTTAACGCCGCACTCTGCAATAGTCAAGCTTTATGAAGGTATTCTGTAAATAATCAAGTCTGGACCAGACAATCCAGTGATTGACATCATGAGCATTGACCCATGCATTTGGGATACGATGACATGCATCAACCAAGTCAGTGAGTCTGACCTCCTGAGCCTGTAAGTCGTCTCTTACAACAAGCATAGTCACCTTTTACGGCAAGCATGGGTTGCTGAAGACCTAATCTAACCCGGATCTTCATGGGTTTGTCCTTGGGCAACTGAAAGGACAACCTGTGTCCTCCCAGTATCCAGTAAACAAACCTTCTGATAAGCGGTGTATTTGCATAACATATACGAACTGAATCACCGAACCCAATAAATAAAACAGCATAGAAGTGGAATGATTGTAAAAATAACCTTTTTCTTGATTTAGAAAACCTGATAGACCCAAGAGAGTAAAAACGTATTGAATAGCCAAAAAACTATCAGTACCCAATGTGAATGGTGATGTGAGTTACATGAATGACGTCCTCAAAATGAACCGTAAACTAGCTGGTTGATCCGTGTCATCATATCCCAATTGCGTTGATCGATGCTCATGATGACAATCACTGGATTGTCTGGTCCAGATTTGATTATTTACAGATCACCATCATATAGCTGGAATATTGCTGAGTGCGGCGTTAAACAACAAATAAACAAACTAGCTGGATACGGCTCATAGTGAGAATTGTTGGTGTAATGTTTCTGTCAATCAATGGTTCCAGGCGTTGCTGGGACCGCTCCAGGGATTCTTGAACTGCATCATCTATGGCTGGAAGAGGGAACAGTTCCGTCGTGCGCTGTCCGAGAACTCCAGCCTGACTAGCACCAACATGCCGTCCTACCTTTCCCTCACGTTATGACAGATCCTGCTCACATGAATAAACATACCTGCATGTCGTCACCGGCTTCTTTCCCTCACGTTATGACAGATCCTGCTCACGTGAATACACATACCTGCATGTCGTCACCAGGCTTCTCTCCCTCACGTTATGACAGATCCTGCTCACATGAATAAACAAACCTGCATGTCGTCACCGGCTTCTTTCCCTCACGTTATGACAGATCCTGCTCACGTGAATACACATACCTGCATGTCGTCACCAGGCTTCTCTCCCTCACGTTATGACAGATCCTGCTCACGTGAATACACATACCTGCATGTCGTCACCAGGCTTCTCTCCCTCACGTTATGACAGATCCTGCTCACGTGAATACACATACCTGCATGTCGTCACCGGCTTCTTTCCCTCACGTTATGATGGAGCCTGTCTACGTGTTGTCAGAATAGACACAAATGCAGGATGGGATCATGAAGTGGCGGATCCAGAGGGGGGATGGGGGGACCCCTTTTTGAAGTGAAAATAAAATCCCACCAAGATAACATCCTGATTTGGTTGTTTAAGTAACATTCACAATGATTTACTTTTTGATTGGTATCTAGAAGTTGGTGAGTAATTAGGAAAACGTACAACTTTGTGGATAATAACTTTTGGTTTATTGCATACTGCAACCTTTTTTATGCAGATTCTTACACCGCATCTACATCGAAATATCACCATGTGCAATCAACCAGAAGTTATTATCCGTAAACAGAGCTCCAGATAAGCTGCGTATCTGCGTAAAATACGCATCAGAAATGCAGAAATATGCAGTAAAATAAAATCCAAGCGTATCAAATATGCAACGAACATTACAGATACGCTACAAAAATAAAACTTGTGCTTATCATCAAAATATTGTGAAGTAACCCTGCGTATTCGATTAGCAAATCAGCAACTTATTTTGAAATTATAGTCGGGCATTCCGTCAACCTTGCCAAACTCCACGATGACAGTTACATCATGATCATTTGCCATCACACTTTCTTGAGGAAGTATCGTGGTATTTTTGAGTCCTATAAAGCTCTCGAACCCACACGACACCAGTTTGCAGGGACTAGATGAATAGTGTTTTTAAATATTTAACTTAAATACCCACATGTGTAAAAACTAGTGGGTAACAGAAATTTGAATACCCAGATAGAATTACTGATACCCAATGATTTTAAAATGCATGGGTAAAATACCCACAGCACCAAAAGCTTATCTGGAGCTCTGGTAAAGTAGTACGTCTTCTTATTAATAGTGGTTTACATACCATTTTTTGTGATCTTTTGGGTAGTCATCCCCACCCCCAAACCCCCAACCCCCAACCCCACCAAGGTTACAAATGGCCCGTCCTCGCTCTTTTTTTAAATCCAGGATCCGCCCCTGGGAACATGTATTCTCTTCCACATGCTTTTACCTCAGTCGGTTACAGACATTTGGAGTTCATGTAATTTTGGTATTTTTCTTGTAAATGAGGCCCTCTGGCATTGGCATCTTCAGATGATAGTGACAGACTATCTTACCTGTTTGCTTGTTGGAGGGTCATGAGACACTGATTTCTGGTTGCCATGGTAACTTTGTACATGGTCACATTTCAGCACAGAATTTGTTTCAAACTGTTCAAAGAAAATAACAAAACTTATTTTCATCACTGCTGAAGGAAAACTTACTACTGGCTCAGCCTGTGTGGAAGTTCATCATGCGTGTTTCAGAAGCTGTTTCAAACCATGCATCCATGTGAAACGCTGTCTGAAGATGATATGCATATTTAATGTATATAGTGAAATATTTGTTTTATAGCATATATATTTATATTTGTTGTGGAGATGCTGGGGGATTGGATTATATGGGCTTGTAGTTGTATATGATTGTAGTTTTGGCTTATAAAAATAAAAGGATTGGTTCTCAGGCAATGGCTTTTGTAAATATGGTGCGAGTGGGCAGTGTTTGTTTTGTGTTTGTGTCGTTGTTCAAGCTAGTATGTAACACGATTTTGTTGACAGTTAATTCGGCAAAATCATGTTCTTAAGTATTGTAGCATTTCACTGCTGGGGTCGTGTGTTTGAGATGGGGGATATTTTAAGATTTTTTATATTTTTGAAAATGGAAATGAAAACAAAACGTGCGGCAGATTTTATGATAATGCAAGCGGCGCCTGAGAACCAAGACTATTATATTTTTTTAGCCTTACAGATTTGCTATATCTTATAGATAGAGTGTGCTAGGGATGTATGTTCTACTGCTGTGACTGTAGACACAAGCACCTGTACATTTTGCTTATTATTATGATGATTGTTCAAGTGTGAACATAGTGAGTGCTTTGTAAATGTGTTAGAAGACTGTACATGACAAATACCACACTACCTACCTCTGATGTTGTCTTGACTGAGCACTGTCTGGGCAGGGGAACAGACAGGGTGTAGGGCTTAAACAACAGACACACAACTGAAGGAACAGTGCGTGTACGTGTGTGGGGGGTGGGGGTGGGTGTGTGTATGGGGGTGGGTGTGTGTGCACTGAGCACTGTCTGGGCAGGGGAACAGCCAGGGTGTGGGGCTTAAACAATAGACACACAACTGAAGGAGCAGTGTGTGTGGGGTGGGGGTGACTGGGTGTGGGTGGGGGTGGGGGGGTGAGTGGGTGTCTGTGTGTGTAGGTGGGTGTCTGTGTGTGGGTGGGGGTGGGTGTCTGTGTGTGTGTAGGTGGGTGTGTGTGTGGGTGGGTGTCTGTGTGTGTGTAGGTGCATGTGTGTGTGCATGGAGGCTGTTGGCTATCTTCAGGGTGCATGCGTGTGTGTGTGTGTGTGCATGGAGGCTGTCCGCGAACTACAGGGTGCATGTGTGTGTGCATAGAGGCTGTCGGCTATCTTCAGGGTGCATGTGTGTGTGTGTGTGCATGGAGGCTGCCCGCGAACTACAGGGTGCATGTGTGTGTGCATAGAGGTTGTCGGCTATCTTCGTGGTGTGTGTGCATGGAGGCTGTCGGCTATCTTCAGGGTGTGTGTGCATGGAGGCTGTCGGCGAACTACAGGGTGCGTGATCCTCTCACCTCGGCTGTTACTCCTGCTTTACTTCCTGTGAAGTCAGGACTTGATTAACTATCTGTATTATTTAATATCAACCCCACTTCTTGCTCTATTCAAGGCAAACATTTCATCTCCGCTTTGTCATGTTTCTCACGTACAAACTTACTGGTGTTCATGTTTTGTTATGCTTGGAATGTTACTCTTACACACACGCACTCATGCACGCACGCACTCATGCACACACGCGCACACACACACACACACACACGCAGTTATTATTTTCATAAAATATTAACTGAATGTACAATTGTACAATTTATCCTTTTGATTCATTTATTCTATACACAAAATACATGGACATCACTTTAATTGGGTTGTTGGACAGCATCATGTTACATTTGCTGTCTTTGTCCCAGTTCCGGGTGTTTTGTATCAGAAACCTTATGGGTAGATTTAGTGACTCACATTTTGTTCCGCACCCGATCATCTGGAAGACTGGCTTCCATTTAAACTCCAGAATAGTTTCAGAGGGTGCGTGCTGGGAAAAGATTATATACTACTCAAAAGAAGTAAAAGACCGCCCATTGTTTTCAGATGAAAATAGTTAATCTGTCATGGCCATCGCAGATCAACTATGGTCATATGAAAAAATCGGGTGTTCTTTTGAGTAGTATAAGTTGATGATTAATAACATTGTTACTGAGGTTGTGGTTAAGGTGATCAATCGTGTGAATGATTTCCGTCTCAGAGAAACTTACGAAACTGAGGAAATGATTCTGTTTATGATCTAGTTAACTTGAATATATATTAAGAAGACAAATGGTAGAAAAGTACAAAATGGACATGTGTTCCCCACTGTTGTGCTTGTGTGGGTTGCCATGGTGATAAAGGTAAATGTAACTTGTTTTTGAGTCACTTCAACTGTTGTTTTTTTATTCCAATGATGTTGTTTTATTTACTTTGTTATGGTTTTTGTTCAACATGTTTTAATTACGTGTGTAATTGAGAGCAAAGCACATGAAAGGAATCGTGATTATTTTCATTTTATTTAAGAGTTATTTTATAATTTCATAAAATGTAATCATATGTTTGAATAAATATATACCACATTAACACATTTGATGCCTACTTTTGTCTGTCTTTTCATCTGTCAGTACAACTGTTCCCGAGCCTGTCAATACAAATCTGCCCCACTGGCAGTACAACTGTGACCCAATCGGTCAATATAACTCTGACCCAGACAGTCGGACAATTGTGTTTCATTCTACAGTGAATTCAGTACAGAAAGAAAACGGTAGAGAGGTTCATCAATCTTGGGTAAAGCATCTCTAAAAGTTATAGCATTAATTGTTTTCATGTCAACTCTCAGACCGTTGTCCCTTTGCATACTAAGTTAATGTTTGAAGAATGAGGGCTTTCACGTATGGTTCCACACTCGAGTATGTTCTTAAGATATTGCCTTACTACTTCAAATAATGCTGGGGATATTCTACATTATCATACTTCGATGTCAGAATGACGAGATCTGATTGGTCCACGTGATAAAATACTGTGTAACCCGTCTTAAAGGGGAATACATTTCTAAGTGGGGGAATGTATCCCTTATACTCGGCCACGAGCAAATCAGGCTGGTAAGAAAATGATACTTTTGGGATAGAAGTTGTACTTGTACAACTCGGATTAAATTCTACTCCTTACTCTATGAGTATATCACAACTGATAAAACAACGACCGCTCATGCATATCCTTAGGTTAAGTCACATTCAGTCAGTATTAGATAGCTGTGGTATCTCGGGTGTATTTTCATCGCCTTTTTATTTTGAAAGCCGCTTGCTTGTCTCAACTGTGGAAAGAGTACTGAAGGATCATTATATTAAAAAATGGCAAGGTGATACCATGTCAAGTTCAAAAGGAACATATTACCAATATCTAAAACAACTGCCTTCTTTTAGCAGCTGTTATATTAGCCGAAACTTATAGCTTATCCAATACTAAAATATAATACAACAAATCATAACCTCCCAGTTGAGACAGGTAGTTGGACTGGAATTGCCACAGAAAACAGACTGTGTATTTTATGTGACCCTTCTGCCGCTGCCGACGAGATTCATTATATTTTCCGCTGTGAAAGTACCACCAAAATATTTAAAATTTCGAAACATTTTTACATTAAAACGCCTATTTTGTACTTTCAATCTTAAAGAATTCAAAATTTATCAGCAAAATATTCAATGAGTTACAAACTCATAAATACTATTAGCGAGTCTTATGTCACTTTGTTATTTTGCTCTTGCACCACCTGTGATGCCCTTTATGGGGAAATAAAGAAAAAAAGACTATGTACTGGTTGAGCTGTGTATCCATCCTGACTGATCAAGTATATTCGATCAATACATTTCCAACTATACAGATCCATTCTGACTGATCAAGTATATTCGATCAATACATTTCCAACTGTAAAGATCCATTCTGACTGATCAAGTATACTCGATCAATACATTTCCAACTGTACAGATCCATTCTGACTGATCAAGTATACTCGATCAATACATTTCCAACAGTACAGATCCATTCTGACTGATCAAGTATACTCGATCAATACATTTCCAACTGTACAGATCCATTCTGACTGATCAAGTATACTCAATCAACACATTTCCATCTGTACAAATCCATTCTGGCCCCGATTTCTCGAAACAAACTTAAATCACGGCCTGATCATTTGGACCAATAGACCCGTGATGATCCAGGTAGAAAATAGATCTTTGGCAACCCATGCTTGTCGTAAGAGGCGACTAACGAGATCCGGTGGTCAGGCAAGCGTGGATCGATGCTCATTATGTCAATCACTGGATTGTCTGGTCCAGACTCGATTGTGTACAGACCTCCGCCTATAGCTGGAATATTGCTGAGTGCGGCGTTAAGCAACAAATAAACAAACAAAAACAAACAAACAAACAATTCGATCAATACGTTTGGGGGTTGGTGTTTAAAACCTAATTAGTTTTGCCAGCTCAAACGTTGAGGTGTCCTGATTCCTGTTACCCTCTGTACAGTAACATGGATCCTCAACAGTTCCCTGAAAAAGAAGTTTGGGTGTGGGCGTGGTCAACATCTTTCTATTCGCCGAGTTATGAACTCAACTATATACCAGCGATAAAAAGTAACTGTGTTTCATATAAAGTGGTGTACATGTTACCTTATAAAAAAAACGGCATATTTGGCCATTCGTCTGATCAATGTTCATCAATTTTGTATCTAAACACTTTTTGCATATTTCTACTTGCCGTTGCATATGCGTGACGGGTGCTACTGGTGGAGCAGGATACGTGAACACTTTATATGGTAACTTGCCATTTTATACCCCCAGCATATTTTGTCGGCGCCTCGTCCGTCCGTCCGTCCGTCCGTCCATCCGTAATCATTTCGCTTCAGGGTCGTAACTCGAAAATCGGGGTCATTTTGTATATCAAACAGATCCTGAAGTGGTGCCTTTTGCTATTTGCGGACTTTTGGCATTTTTATTTTTCTCTATTTCCAAGGACTTGACTTACCTGTAGCCTCAAAAGGGGTTATGATGTCGTTTCGGGAGCACAACTTGAAAACTGTGAAAAACCTTTCATCCAAATCTGGTATATGCATTAACCAAGGACTGAAGTGATGCCTTTTGCTATTAAAGATATTTTCAAAATTTGATTTTTCCCTGTTTCCATGGAAAGAAGTTAGACTTGACTGAAACGGAGGTAGCTGTCGTTTCCGGGGAAGAACTAAAATATCGTTCCACATTTTACATTCAACTTGGTACATGTAACAATCAAAGGTTGGGGTGGTGACTTTTGCTATTTAGGAATTTGAATTTGTTTCCCTGTTTCCACGGCAACACGTTTGACTCTGACTCTGTTCATAGTGTTGTGTTTTGTCCGAACCATATCTCTAAAACTAATAGTTTTATTCTTTCATGACACTTTGCACATAGCGTACAAGGGCCAGGTTGTCAAATGGTGCCTTCTGCTACTTAGGGGTGTTTTGAATATATATTTTTTTCCGTTTCCATGGCAACAAGTTAGACGTTGACTCTGTTCATTGTGGTGTGTACCTGACCCCGAAATCCAAAGTTCCGAATCCCAATTCCATGGTATAGTTTTGATAGCTCAATAACTACTCATGTGCATGGACAGACAGCTTACATAGAAATTCTCTCATCAAGTTGGACTTAAAGTAGGTCAGATGATTTGTTCTCTCGAATTTGTCGGGGGCCAGTGGTATTGTCATCTTCTGATGACTCTTGTTGTTTATAATTTTGACAACCAGATATAAGACATTTGCAGATGGGTGCACAGCTGATTAGACACCAGGGTCCACTTGCACAAAGCGATCTTAGCGCTAAGACTATCGTAAGCCTATGTTAAAGTATGTGAGTTACGATCATCTTAGGGCTAAGATCGCTTTGTGCATGTGGGCCCTGGTATCTCAGATATGTAATGGAACAACCCAGGTAGAGAATAACATACCACTGTATTAGTATGTATCTTATTTATTGTGGTCTTATTTCTATACCGTGAGAGTAAAGAGAGACATTGAGAATAAATAACAATACCATTGATTCAGTTGTATGTGTTGTAGTGACATATTAGAGCGACGATGTGGTCTCAATCTTCTTCCGTCAAGTGAGTAGTGTATGGTATGGATCTGAGTAGTCTCATCTCTTGCATGCTTCCGCACACCACTGAGAAACATCACCTTACTGGTGTCTACTGCAGGATGATTATTCTCAGATTGGTCTCCAACAACAGAACATCTACAAGTACAGGTCTTGACAACACGCCGCCAGAGAGTGCTGGTTTGTTTTGACGCTATTCCTCCTAACAACTGCCATCTAGATGAATTCATGGCGTTCCTTTCCGGGACGTAATATATTCTATCACCATGCCTGGGTTATGGTTGGTTGGTTTGTTTGTTGTTTAACGCCGCACTCAGCAATATTCCAACTACATATATGACGGCGGTCTGTAAATAATCTGGACCAGACAATCCAGTGATTAATATCATGAGCATCGATCCACGCAATTGGGATCGATGACATGCATCAACCAAGTCAGCGAGCCTGACCACCCGATCCCGTTAGTCGCCTTTTACAACAAGCAGAGTCACCTTTTACGGCAAGCATGGGTTGCCGAAGACCTATTCTACCCCGGAATCTTCACGGGTCCTATGCAAAGTGTAAGACGTCGACTTCCGCCTTCGCAATTTCGGCTGACCTGCCCCTCTTTGGGCTTATGTCTGTGAGAAGGGCACACACATCTATTGTTGTTGCTTTACATTTTAAGACGTCTGTGCGTAGGGTATTGTGAGTTTTAGTTGTTATATTGTAGTATAGTGTACAATGATTGCAACTGTACTAAAATATATACACATCAAAGGATTAACGTTTGTTATATGTGTACTCTAAGGTCAGCATCAGTTTCGGGAAAGCTCTCCTCTCACTAGAGCAATCCAATAAGGACTATCCCACTATATCAACTGTATATTCTGAATATATGCAAGTCGGATTCTGATGAGCAGTGCTATAATACATGATATACATGATATATAAAATGAAACCAGTGAATCAAGATGACAGTGAGTGTACATTTATATATACATAACTATGGATACACACAATTAGTCAGTGCGACTTCAGATTGTATTCTGCATATATGAATACTTACCTAATTCTGTATTAAGAGCTGTTAGGAACCTACCAAGTTGTTTTAAATCGCTACATTTAGGAATGAGTGAGTGAGTGAGTATGGTGTTTCGCGGCTTGTAGCAATAGTCCAGCAATTTTATATTTAGGAGTAGATAAGAGGCGTTTTAGATTCGAGATGTTTTGGCAGTTGAGGTATTTACTATAGATATAAATTAATCTTTATTTTCTAAAAGCCTCACAATGAAATAAATAGTAAAATCATCTGCAATGCCAGGTGAGTTACATAATTTACATACGCGATGTTCTCTAGGAGTATTGCTCCATCTTCCCGTATCAAGGTTATAGTTCGATGTTCGAAATCTCTGTAGTGGGTTTGATCCTGGCTCACGTAGCAAAAGGTAGTATATGCTTAAAATATTTGTAGTAAA